TAAACAATCTTAATATATGATTATTTCACATTTAATAGTATATACACTTATTTTCCCTACTATTCTCTATACATTCCATAGAGTGATCATTCTATACAGTGTCCAAAAATGTTTACCAACTGCTCGACCACTATATAGAAAGTTCACTGTATTTTTCTATACATTATATCTATTTTTGGTAATTCTGTTATTCCTCATTAAAGATATATTTTAATATAGTATTAATTTCAACAACTGTATTGTTTTTGAGTTACATCCGTTTTTAATATCTATATTTAGTAATACTGTATAACGTAATAAAAGTAATTATAGATATGACCACTAAAACGCGCTAGGGCCACTGAAGGGCCACTTTTGTATAGTGAGGTTATACTTTAGTTATAGCATGACTAATGCTATCAAATATGAATGTGTCTATAAATCGCTGTATTTATAACTCATACAGTGTTCACTATTTACTATTTCATTTCAACATGAGAATCCCTGGATATGACACATACCTTAACCAATTCATTAGTATCTGTGACCCCAAACTCCATCATCTCTCTGGTGAGGACACCCATTATGCTATAGAATTCATCGGCGCTCTCAACAGTCAATATTCGGCTAAAATAACACAAAATTCTAAATCTATACAAATATCCGACAAATATTCATATATTCTCGACATAACAAATCAATATTAAGCAAATAGTGAAACAGGAAACGAGAGTTTAATTTAGTTTTGCGCTCAATATTGATATTATGTTTAAGAAAACATTGATTTGTGTGTATCGTTGGTGAAGACATACTCAGCCAAACAATCCCAGATCGCGAGCGCAGCCCTCAATAGCACTTCATTTCCTTCGAGGAATATTAAGTCCCATATTCTCAGTACTGATGTCTTCGGCAAACAATTGGTGAATAGCGTGAGAAACCATTGCATTGTGAATACGTTGATGAGTGGCGGCTCATAACTGGGTCCAGAGGTCTGGTCCTGACCCGCGAACTGCAGTTTGTCAAAGTGTTTGGCAAGAGTTGAGATCCGCATCCGAAGTAAGTCCCGAAACACTGCCATATCGACCGACAGACCCCTCAGATTGTTGGCGAAATAGCTTTCCGGCAAAACGCCTTCAATTAAATATATCATAACCTGGTTTTGGACATCAAATCATGGATTCATTAAATTTAATTAAATTTCTTGATTTTCATGCCATTAAATTTTAATTGAAATATAAAAAGAAAATATTCATGTAATTTGTTATTTTCTAAATGAATTCTCTCTCTAATCAAACGGAGAATTAAATTAAAATAATATAAATTTTAGTTATATTTTATACATTAAAATAATTGCATTTTAATTAAGAATAATGCGAGAGAGAGAGAGAGAGAGA